GCATGCGCACTTCACTCTTCAAGTAACCTCTGCGTAGTTATATGCTCATTGTCCGTTACTGCCGATGGCATTTATATAATTTAGTATTTCAATATTTCATTTTGTTATTGTACTTGGAAAACATGTCTCGTTTTTGGCTGCCTCTGTTAACCTTTTTAGCTTTTTCTCAGCACAGATGTCCCATGATAACTTTACCCCTCCTCTAACTCTCTCTGAGACATGCTAAGCCCCAGTTGGTTTTTCCAGTGAGGTAGACTCCTTCTACATTACTAAACACCTCGGTTTACCACCTACATTCCAGGTCAAAATACCTGCACTATCTCTCTATACCCTCAATGCTGTTAATCTAATTTACTATGCCCCAAATTCCTCTCCCCGGTTTCACTTTTACATCTGTTCAAATCGTCCAGTTCTTAAAGCCTTTTCCCGATCACTCATTCTCCTCTTTCTTATAGCTTTGGGGGATGTAGAACCAAACCCCGACCCTACAGCCCCTGATAACACCCTAACCCTCTACCCTACAGCCCCTGATAACACCCTAACCCTCTACCCTACAGCCCCTGATAACACCCTAACCCTCTACCCTACAGCCCCTGATAACACCCTAACCCTCTACCCTACAGCCCCTGATAACACCCAAACCCTCTACCCTACAACCCCTGATAACACCCTAACCCTCTACCCTACAGCCCCTGATAACACCCTAACCCTCTACCCTACAGCCCCTGATAACACCCTAACCCTCTACCCTACAGCCCCTGATAACACCCAAACCCTCTACCCTACAACCCCTGATAACACCCTAACCCTCTACCCTACAGCCCCTGATAACACCCTAACCCTCTACCCTACAGCCCCTGATAACACCCTAACCCTCTACCCTACAGCCCCTGATAACACCCTAACCCTCTACCCTACAGCCCCTGATAACACCCTAACCCTCTACCCTACAGCCCCTGATAACACCCTAACCCTCTACCCTACAGCCCCTGATAACACCCTAACCCTCTACCCTACAGCCCCTGATAACACCCTAACCCTCTACCCTACAGCCCCTGATAACACCCTAACCCTCTACCCTACAGCCCCTGATAACACCCAAACCCTCTACCCTACAACCCCTGATAACACCCTAACCCTCTACCCTACAGCCCCTGATAACACCCTAACCCTCTACCCTACAGCCCCTGATAACACCCTAACCCTCTACCCTACAGCCCCTGATAACACCCTAACCCTCTACCCTACAGCCCCTGATAACACCCTAACCCTCTACCCTACAGCCCCTGATAACACCCTAACCCTCTACCCTACAGCCCCTGATAACACCCTAACCTCTCAGTTATTCTCATTTAAGGACTTCTGCGACCGTAACAGTCTTGGTTTCATGCACGCGAACATCAGAAGCCTACTCCCTAAACTAGACCTAGTCACTACTTTAGCACACTCTGCCAACCCTGACATACTAGCAGTTTCGTAGACCTGGCTTCGAAAATCAACAAAGAACTCTAATATTTCTATTCCCAACTATAACATTTTCCGTCAAGACAGAGCCACTAAAGGAGGTGGGATAGCCTTATTTTGCAGGGACACCTTACAGAGTTCTATCGTCCTGTCTAAGTCAGTGGCTAAACAATTTGAGTTTCTTGTCTTGTAAATTATTCTCTCCAGAAATAAATCTTTCACTATTGCTGCCTGTTATAGACCTCCTTCAGCCCCCAGCTGTGCCCTGGAAACCTTATGTGAATTATTAGCCCCCCACCTATCCTCTGAGTTCATATTATTAGGTGATCTACACTGGGACATGTTAACATCCCCACCAATGTACAATCTAAATGTGATGCCCTTAACCTCACTCAGATTATCAATGAACCAACCCGGTACAACCTAAATTACGTTAACAAAGGAACGCTTATTGATATTATTTTAACTAACATGCCATCAAAATATACCCGTGCTGTTTTCAGCCAAGACCTTAGTGATCATTGCCTCATTGCATGCATTCGTAATGGGTCAGTAGTCAAACCACCTCCTCTTATTACGGTGAAACGCTCAATAAAGCATTTTTGTGCGCAAGCATTTCTAATCGACATAGCCCGGGTACCTTGGAAGGAGGTTGAACTTATCCCGACAGTTGAGGATGCCTGGTCATTTTTCAAAAATGCCTTCTTATCTGTCCTGAACAAACACGCCCCTCTCAAAAAGCTTAGAACCAAAAGAAGATACAGTCCTTGGTATAGTCAAGATCTGACTGCCCAAGCCCAGCACAAATACACCCTTTGACTTCACACATGGCCAACAGCCCCCCACCCACCGCTTCACCTTGCCTAAGCACCCCCAGATTCTCATTTACCCAAATCCAACCAGCAGATGTTAAGAAAGAATTGCAAAATTCTTGACCCCTATAAATCGGCTGGTTTGGACGGCTTGGACCCGTCTTTTCTAAAACTCTCAGCAGCAGTAATTGCAACTCCCATTCCTAGTCTGTTCAACCTCTCCTTTCATCAGAGATCCCTAAAGACTGGGAAACAGCAGCAGTCATTCCTCTTTTCAAAGGGGGCGACACGCTCGACCCAAACTGTTACAGACCCATATCCATCCTGCCCTGTCTCTCCATAGTTTTCGAAAGCCTGATTACCAAACAGATGACCAAACATTTTGATTCACACAATACACTTTCTGCCGTGCAATCTCGTTTCTGAGCTGGTCATGGCTGCACGTCTGCTACACTTAAGGTCTTGAATGACATCACAACCGCCATTGATAAGAGACACTACTGTGCAGCCGTATTCATTGATAAGAGACACTACTGTGCAGCCGTATTCATTGATAATAGACACTACTGTGCAGCCGTATTCATTGATAAGAGACACTACTGTGCAGCCGTATTCATTGATAATAGACACTACTGTGCAGCCGTATTCATTGATAAGAGACACTACTGTGCAGCCGTATTCATTGATAAGAGACACTACTGTGCAGCCGTATTCATTGATCTGGCCAAGGCTTTCGACTGTCAATCACCGCATCCTCATTAGCAGACTCAGTAGCCTTGGTTTTTCAATTGGTTCACCAACTATTTCTGTGACAGGGTTCAACATGTTAAGTCTGAGGGTCTGCTGTCTGGCCCTATAGATGTCTCAATGGGGGGGCCACAGGGGTCAACATGTTAAGTCTGAGGGTCTGCTGTCTGGTCCTATAGATGTCTCAATGGGGGGGCCACAGGGGTTAACATGTTAAGTCTGAGGGTCTGCTGTCTGGCCCTATAGATGTCTCAATGGGGGGGCCACAGGGGTCAACATGTTAAGTCTGAGGGTCTGCTGTCTGGTCCTATAGATGTCTCAATGGGGGGGCACAGGGGTCAACATGTTAAGTCTGAGGGTCTGCTGTCTGGCCCTATAGATGTCTCAATGGGGGTCTGGCCCTATAGATGTCTCAATGGGGGGGCCACTCAATGGGGGCAACATGTTAAGTCAACATGATGTAAGGGGGCCACAGGGGTCAACATGTTAAGTCTGATGGTCTGCTGTCTGGCCCTATAGATGTCTCAATGGGGGGGCCACAGGGTTAAACATGTTAAGTCTGAGGGTCTGCTGTCTGGGCCTATAGATGTCTCAATGGGGGGGCCACAGGGGTCAACATGTTAAGTCTGAGGGTCTGCTGTCTGGCCCTATAGATGTCTCAATGGGGGGGCCACAGGGGTCAACATGTTAAGTCTGATGGTCTGCTGTCTGACCCTATAGATGTCTCAATGGGGGGGCCACAGGGGTCAACATGTTAAGTCTGAGGGTCTGCTGTCTGGCCCTATAGATGTCTCAATGGGGGGGCCACAGGGTTCGATTCTTGGGCCGACACTATTCTCTGTGTATATCAATGATGTTGCTCTTGCCGCTAGCGGCTCTCAGATCCACCTTTATGCAGATGATAACATACTAAACCCGTCTGGTCCTGCTTTGGATCTGTGCTAACTAACTTCCAAATGAGCTTCAATGCCGTTCAATACGCCTTTTGTGGACTTCAGTTGCTCCTAAACTCAAGTAAAACAAAATGCATGCAGTTCAACCGTACACTATCCGTACCTGTAATTTATAGAACTGCTTCTTCCTCCCTTCTGAAGAGGTTAGATGTAGTCTATAATAGTGCAATCCGTTTTGTTACCAATGCCCCTTCTAACACCCCCCACTGTGACCTATATGCATTGTTGGGCTGGCTCTCTTTACACAAAACCCCTCAATACCTATACTCTCTACTCACCACTGCCTCACCAACCCGTAATCTGCGCTCAAGCAGGTACATCTCCCTAGTCACTCCAAAAGCAAACACCTCCTTCGGCCGAAGCTCCTTCCAGTTTGCAGCAGCATGTGACTGGAATGAACGACAAAAGACCCTAAAACTGGAAAACATCATTCCTCTCACCTCCTTTAAAGCACGACTGTCAAAGCTACTGCCTACTCATTGCACTTGCTGACCCCCCCAGCTACAGCCTACTCATTGCACTTGCTGACCTCCCCCCACCATTTCAGATTTACTTTGCCTGCCCCAGTGCCTTGGTCTGTACCCTTGATACCTCTGCTACCACTGTTCAGTATAAAACTGTATTTGTCGTCCACTGTTAGTTGCCTAGCTATTTTGCTCGCTAATTTAATCTACCTCTTTTACCGATCATATCGCACTTATTTGTACACTGTTTACGCTGCTGCCCTTTTTTCTGTAATTTATTGGTATTTACTTTATGTATATTTAGATGCATATTTTTCATTATTTTATCCCCCTGTGTAATTATTGTATAATCTGTGTAATTCATGTGTAACTGTCTGTCTTGCACCTTCACTTTATTCTTGGCCAGGTCGCTATTTCAATTGAGAATGTGTTCTCTATGTGCTCACCTGGTTAAATAAAGGTTAAATACAAATAAACAGCCAACCTTAAGGCCTGAATAACATCATAGTCGCCATTGATAAAAAGCACTTCTGTTCAGCCGTTTACAGCCATTTAGAGCAGCAGTTGGTATCTCAGTGGAAGAGTGCATGCTGTTGTGTATGACGTTCTGGGTTCAATCCCCAGCTGCTCCCCCTGCTCGCCCTACCTGGTTAAATAAAGGTTAAAAATAAATAAACATCAATCTGTCATAGGCATTTGATTCTGTTAACCACCGTGTTCTTATCAGCCAACCCAATAGGCTTCTCTTGTGACTGCCTCGCCTGGTTCTCCAACTACCTCTCTGACAGGGTCCAGCTTGATAAATTAGAGGTCCTGCTGTCGGGACATATAGCTGTCTCTATGGGGGTGCCACAGGGCTCGATTCTTGGGCCGACTCTATTCTCCCTCTACATCAACGATGTGTCTCTCGCTGCTGGTGACTTTCTGATTCATCTCTATGCAGATGATACCATCCTGTACACGTCAGGCCCTTCATCTCTATGCAGATGATACCATCCTGTACACGTCAGGCCCTTCATCTCTATGCAGATGATACCATCCTGTACACGTCAGGCCCTTCATCTCTATGCAGATGATACCATCCTGTACACGTCAGGCCCTTCATCTCTATGCAGATAATACCATCCTGTACACGTCAGGCCCTTCATCTCTATGCAGATGATACCATCCTGTAAACGTCAGGCCCCTCACTAGATACTGTACTCTCAAATCTCCAGGAGTTTTAATGCCATTCAACATTCCTTATAAACCTACAGTTATTACTAAACTCTGGTAAAACTAATTGCATGCTTTTCAACCGATCACTGCCAACACCTGCCACGCTAGATGTGTCTGAACTAGAATTTGTTAAACGAATGACAAAAAAAACTAAAACTAAAAACCCTCATCTCACCAGTTGCCTGTAAACTACTCCTGTCTGATCACCTGTCTGATCTCTGTACCTGTTAACTGTCTTTAGCTTCTCTACTCCTGTCTGAACACCTGTCTGATCTCTGTACCTGTTAACTGTCTTTAACCTCTTCTCACGTATACCCATATAGCACAGTGGACCTCTCTTACCTGCACAGCTGTCATACCTGTTTACATTCTTGAATCACTTTCTGCTCAAATGCTCTCCCCCCATAACCTCGGTCATATAATCCCATGCACTCTAATGACCTACCTGCTAGACACACTTTAATCTTCGTACATCCTGTATATAGATACTCATTGTATTATTATTATTTTTTTAAAATATATTTGTTATTCCCTTATCAATGCTGCTCAACAGAACTACATATACCTCATCCTGTATAACTTGAACCTGTTTTACCTTATTAATACTGCAGTAGTAACTGTACTACATATACCTCATCCTGTATAACTTGATCCTGTATTACCTTATTAATACTGCAGTAGTAACTGTACTACATATACCTCATCCTGTATAACTTGATCCTGTATTACCTTATTAATACTGCAGTAGTAACTGTACTACATATACCTCATCCTGTATAACTTGATCCTGTATTACCTTATTAATACTGCAGTAGTAACTGTACTACATATACCTCATCCTGTATAACTTGATCCTGTATTACCTTATTAATACTGCAGTAGTAACTGTACTACATATACCTCATACTGTATAACTTGATCCTGTATTACCTTATTAATACTGCAGTAGTAACTGTACTACATATACCTCATCCTGTATAACTTGAACCTGTTTTACCTTATTAATACTGCAGTAGTAACTGTACTACATATACCTCATCCTGTATAACTTGAACCTGTTTTACCTTATTAATACTGCAGTAGTAACTGTACTACATATACCTCATCCTGTATAACTTGAACCTGTATTACCTTATTAATACTGCAGTAGTAACTGTACTACATATACCTCATCCTGTATAACTTGATCCTGTATTACCTTATTAATACTGCAGTAGTAACTGTACTACATATACCTCATACTGTATAACTTGATCCTGTATTACCTTATTAATACTGCAGTAGTAACTGTACTACATATACCTCATCCTGTATAACTTGATCCTGTATTACCTTATTAATACTGCAGTAGTAACTGTACTACATATACCTCATCCTGTATAACTTGATCCTGTATTACCTTATTAATACTGCAGTAGTAACTGTACTACATATACCTCATCCTGTATAACTTGATCCTGCATTACCTTATTAATACTGCAGTAGTAACTGTACTACATATACCTCATCCTGTATAACTTGATCCTGCATTAATTAATACTGCAGTAGTAACTGTACTGTATAACTTGAACCTGTATTACCTTATTAATACTGCAGTAGTAACTGTACTACATATACCTCATCCTGTATAACTTGATCCTGTATTACCTTATTAATACTGCAGTAGTAACTGTACTACATATACCTCATCCTGTATAACTTGATCCTGTATAACCTTATTAATACTGCAGTAGTAACTGTACTACATATACCTCATCCTGTATAACTTGATCCTGTATTACCTTATTAATACTGCAGTAGTTACTGTACTACATATACCTCATCCTGTATAACTTGATCCTGTATAACCTTATTAATACTGCAGTAGTTACTGTACTACATATACCTCATCCTGTATAACTTGATCCTGTATTACCTTATTAATACTGCAGTAGTAACTGTACTACATATACCTCATCCTGTATAACTTGATCCTGTATTACCTTATTAATACTGCAGTAGTAACTGTACTACATATACCTCATCCTGTATAACTTGATCCTGTATTACCTTATTAATACTGCAGTAGTAACTGTACTACATATACCTCATCCTCTATAACTTGATCCTGTATTACCTTATTAATACTGCAGTAGTAACTGTACTACATATACCTCATCCTGTATAACTTGATCCTGTATTACCTTATTAATACTGCAGTAGTAACTGTACTACATATACCTCATCCTGTATAACTTGATCCTGTATTACCTTATTAATACTGCAGTAGTAACTGTAGTACATATACCTCATCCTGTATAACTTGATCCTGTATTACCTTATTAATACTGCAGTAGTAACTGTAGTACATATACCTCATCCTGTATAACTTGATCCTGTATTACCTTATTAATACTGCAGTAGTAACTGTAGTACATATACCTCATCCTGTATAACTTGATCCTGTATTACCTTATTAATACTGCAGTAGTAACTGTACTACATACACCTCATCCTGTATAACTTGATCCTGTATTACCTTATTAATACTGCAGTAGTAACTGTACTACATACACCTCATCCTGTATAACTTGATCCTGTATTACCTTATTAATACTGCAGTAGTAACTGTACTACATATACCTCATCCTGTACAACTTGATCCTGTATTACCTTATTAATACTGCAGTAGTAACTGTACTACATACACCTCATCCTGTATAACTTGATCCTGTATTACCTTATCAATACTGCAGTAGTAACTGTACTACATATACCTCATCCTGTATAACTTGATCCTGTATTGTCTTATTGTGTCCCATTGCTATTTTGCACTCTTGTGTTCTGTGTATTTATTATGTAACTGTATGTTGTCCTGCAGATTTTTTCGTCTTATCTTGGCTAGGTCGCCACAGGTTTACCTGGACTCAATCTAAGATGGCCGCTGTATCAGCTGGATGTACCTGGACATGGCTCCTGTTCCTCTGAAAGAGTTCTGGGAGTGAAGTCCTCTCCTGCCAATGACCGCCATCTGCTGGAGCTCTGATGACCTGTCATCACACACAGACTGGCCTCTACAAACACACACATGACCTGTCATCACACAGACTGGCCTCTACAAACACACACATGACCTGTCATCACACAGACTGGCCTCTACAAACACACACATGACCTGTCATCACACAGACTGGCCTCTACAAACACACACATGACCTGTCATCACACAGACTGGCCTCTACAAACACACACATGACCTGTCATCACACAGACTGGCCTCTACAAACACACACATGACCTGTCATCACACAGACTGGCCTCTACAAACACACACATGACCTGTCATCACACATAGACTGGCCTCTACAAACACACACATGACCTGTCATCACACAGACTGGCCTCTACAAACACACACACATGACCTGTCATCACACAGACTGGCCTCTACAAACACACACATGACCTGTCATCACACAGACTGGCCTCTACAAACACACACACATGACCTGTCATCTCACGCGCACGCGCACGCGCACACGCACACGCACACACACACACACACACACTGTTTAAGGTTCAGGACAGTTTTACTGTTAGTTCGTGTGTGTAAGTACCGACTAATGTGACTCAGGTTACTGTCTGTCCTCTCACAATCGTCGTCCAGCCAGGTCTTCACTGACAGTTGCTGAGATGCCATTTCAGTACTCCGACCCAGAACCTGAGTAGACATCTAAACACACACACAACCCCATATATACACACACACACACACGCAAAACCCCATACACACAACCCCATATACACACACACACACACACACACACATACAACCCAATACACACACACAACCCCATATACACCCAAACCCCAATACACACACACAACCCCATATACACCCAAACCCCAATACACACACACAACCCCATAAACACGCACCCCAATACACACACACAACCCCATAAACACACACCCCAATACACACACACAACCCCATAAACACACACCCCAATACACACACACAACCCCATAAACACACACCCCAATACACACACACAACCCCATAAACACGCACCCAACCCCATATACACACACCCAACCCCATATACACACGAACCCCATATACACCCATACACACAACCAAATACAAACACACAACCAAATACAAACACACACACAGAACAAAGTCATACAACTCCATATAAACAATGGCTACCATGGCAACCATATGGAAACAGCTCAGAGGAGAATGAAAGAGACAAGCTTAGAAGAGAAGATAAATAGGAGAGACGAGGAAAGGAAATCGGAGCGAAAATATGTAATGAAAAAAGAAGAGACTAGAGAAGGGGATGGGAGGAGAAGAAACGGGGATGGGAGGAGAAGAAACGGGGAGAAAACAGAAGAGGAGCGGAAACTACCTTTGCATTTCAGACAC